CGCGCCCGCCCGCTTGATCCGTTCCGTATCAAGCTCAATGCGCGAGTAATGCGCCGGTGCTCGTGAAATAGCCCCGCGTCCTGTTTCCATGTTGCTTTAGCGCGGATGATGGTAGCGTTCTGGCACTCTGCGTTGATCCGTCAGGCCGAGACACGAGCTATGCCCCCGTGTTTGTGTGTGTGATTTGGAATGCGCGCTTTGTTTTAGCGAGGAACCGTCTTTAGCCTGGGGAGCATCTTGCAGGCACCTGGTGCAGACAACGCTAAAGCAGTCTTCAGTGACGAGCCCTGGCTTTTGCTTAGTGGTAGTGGAGTTGCTAATGAGGCGCTGTAAAGCTCGCTTTGCACATATTCCGTTGTATAATTAATACCGGATTAGCTACTCGCCTTCGTACACCTGCTAGCGCGATGTTCTTTAGTTTCTCTAAAGCCGGTGATTCGAAACTTCAATGTAGTCATTTTATATTCATGTAGGGTCAGAGTGACACATTCCAAACACATGATTTTTAATGAAGGATTTTGCTGTGGTGGGTTCGTTGTGATTTGTGAATCTAAGACACATCATGCTTGTTTATATACTTATTATAATGAAGGTTTAGCAGCGGTAAATTATAGTATCTTATAGTTACTTAATGGAAGTAATTTCGGCTTTTTCATTCATCTTGTATTGTTTGTTCAAATATGTGGACTGTAGACTAACCTTCTTTCTTTTGTCTCTGTGTCGAAATCATCCGCAGACCCAACATGGTGAGAGTTCTGCACATGCTGCTGTTGTCGCAAGCGATGCTATTTTGTTTGAAGGCCTGATAAAACATTGCCTTTTATTTCCAGATCACGCTGACAGGTTTCATGTTTCTGCTGACATCGGCATTGCTTGGCTTTGTAAGTAATCTAGAGCACGCAAATATGAAGATTTTGCGTCTTGTTAATTGCCGCTGCAGTAATACTCTAGCAAGCTTTTAACTTGTCACTGTCATTTTGCTGCAGTTGTATTCACCTCATCTTGATACAGCGCCCCCTAGATGGGTTCATCTTGCGCACGGAATCCTTCTCTTCCTTTACCAGGTATCCAACTTTATATGCTCACCCAACCATTGTTGAGGAAATCGTTAACTGGTAGCTACTCAGTTGCTAGCGAGTAGGGGATTATTAATAGGCTAATCGGCAAGTTAATCGGCCATTTAATCAATTAATCGGCCGGTTTATCAGTTTATCAGCTACTCGGTGACCCAACGAGTAGCGATTAATCGGCAAGTTAACTGGTTAATCGAATGAATTGTTGAACAGGGCACCCAACCATGCAATACTGTACCATCTTATTCTCCCTTTCCAGCATAACACAACTGCCACGTTTTCTATAGAACAGATAAGGGTGATATTAATCTGCAGTTCTGGCAATATTGTTCAAGCATTTATGACCCATGCACGAAGGGCTTGCTATTAATTTTATGCATGCTAAGGTTCCTAAATGTCTTCAATGTGTGGCCCCTTGTCCTATTAGTCTCTAAATCTCTAGATTTTCTTACGGTTCTACCATGTGTAATTTCCAGTCACTGCCAGTTTAGAATTGTAATATACATGTTGAAATATGGATGCAGACTTTTGATGCTGTGGATGGTAAACAAGCAAGACGTACCAACTCATCAAGTCCTTTAGGCGAACTTTTTGATCACGGTAATCCACATTCCAAATTCGGCTTGCTGAACTCAGTTTTGGGAAAGCATGCATGTGACACTGACAAGCTTTTGTCCTGAACAGGATGTGACGCGCTTGCATGTGCTGTAAGGATATTCATCACTTTGTTTCGTACATATGCATAGATACTAAATTGTTGTGAACTGATTAGTCTATCTATTAGTTTGAGTCCCTGGCTTTTGGGAGCACAGCTATGTGTGGAAATGCTACCTTCTGGTTTTGGGTCATTTCAGCTGTCCCCTTCTACTTCGCAACCTGGGAACAGTGAGTTAATTTGTTCTTTCACTTCTATGTTACGGCATCAAACTATCTTAGGAGCAAGTATTGCTCTATACTCTTCTACACCTATCACCAAACTGGTTGTACTTTTGCTTGGATAATGTCGCCCTTATGAAGTATAATGATTCCATGTCCCTTTGGATGCTTTATAATTTTTAAATGATGAACATGTCTTGCAGTGCTTGTGCCATCTTTTTTTTTTTCAAATGGTTTGTGAATCTTCATATGCCTTACTTGTACCAGCTCTTTTCATGTGGTTTGTTAAGTTGGAAGTGTTTTAATGTTCTCATAGAAGGTGCCAAGTAGGAAGCATGTTGGAACCTTATTAAGATTCCCGCAATTTAGTTTCCACAAGAGCATAGAAGCACTACTATTTTTGAGTTTGAAACCTTCTTACTATTGATGCCTTGTAATATTTATGGTTATTCCTATATCTGTGTCGGTGATACCTCCGCAGACGTTTGTTGTGTTACTTTTGAGTGGTATCATATTTCCATCTCACACATAATTGCTCTCTGTGTAGCTATTTTACAAATACACTTGTTCTTCCTATAGTCAATGGGCCGACTGAAGGCCTTATGCTGATCTATGTGTGCCATATCGTCACCTTTTTCACAGGTACTATTTGACTTAACTTTTATCAACCTTCACAGAATCAAATCATGTCGAGCTTGTCAATCTTCGTAGTTTTCTCCTGCTAATATACCGTACATATGTATCCGTCATGTATACGTCTTTCGTATCCAACCATATAGTTTACTGATATTAACTGCACATCTTTCCTTTCACTTTCCTTCCATAGGAGCTGAATGGTGGGCACAGGATTTCCGAAAATCAGTGCCCCTCCTTAATTGGGTGCCTCTTGTTCCTGGTATGTAGACCACCAAGCTTATGGTTCTAATTTTGCTTTTGTATTAAAACCATATGTTAATAATTTTCTTAACATCAAGCCTGACTGTTTCATCTGTTGCCGATGAAACCGTGTGCTGTTAATACTGTGTGAAAACTGTAAAATGAACTCGGATAGTGACAAATGCTGGCATTCCCTATGCTGAAGTCTATTTTCCATTGCTTCTTTTCCAGAAATCTCGCTCTATGGCATTGTGCTGTTTCTAATGATTGCTTTTGCTGTAATTCCGACAATTGGATCTAAGTAAGTTCTGTTTGTCATTTTGCGTAGTATTTTCTGTTTCGATTCTCGTTCTATCTGATCTGTGTTTTTTGCTTGCTCAATAGATCTGAAACACCTCTTATTGTACTACATAGCTCTAATACTCCAGTTCAAATAATCCCAGTGTCGAGGATCTGAATTACCCTCTTATTCTTTTTTATGTTTATTTATCTTGTTTATCCTCTTGTATTGGTTTGGGGTGCTAGCGAGGCAGATCTCTGAGCCTTTGAGTTGGAAAGGCACCACATTTGTTTAATTTAGAACTGATCAAACATTCAAGTGTTAATCAAGCTGCACTAAGCTAGTGTTGTAACCTACCTACAGCACTCACAATGTTTACAAAGTCGTCGAAGCAAGAAAAGGAAGTATGGTGCTGGCACTAGCAATGGTAAGGTCTAGATTTGTTGTCGTATTGCATAAAACTTTTCTCCATGTGACTTTCCACCCTTCTTCATTTTTACCAGCTCTTCCCTTTCGTTCTACTCATGGCTGGAACTCTCGTGTGGTATCCTCTTGACCCTTCTGAGTTCTATTGTATATATCTACTCTTTTAAAAAAAGAGCAATAACGTAGAAAAAAAATCTGTTACGTCATTACTGATGGATGTTACTTCAATGTGCAGGTCCTATCTATCTCCTTCAGATATAATGAGAAATCAACCACATCTGCTAATTATTGGAACTGGTTTTGCGTTTGGCTATCTTGTGGTAAGGCCTCTTCTAATACCTAGATTAAATATCTGGTTGATCTGTGTTTTGATGATGTTGCTCTTTTACACCTTTTCATGTTTGAAACTAATTCTTCATTTTGCCTGCCAATCTGGGCATTGTCACTACTGTTGCGATTCTGCTCTTGTTTTGACTCTTTATCCAAGGGTAGTTAGATTGGTCTCTTGGTTTCTATACCACCGTTACAGAATACTTCATTTTAATGTTACATATTTGGTCATGGTTAAATGACCAATTGAAACCTCATAATCTGCTCATCAAACAGCTTTCAATCCCTCAGATTTTAATTCCAAAAAATGGAAATTGGGCAGAACCTCCCCTGTAATTTTGATCCCACATCTCACACAATTCATATATATAAATACAAAATGCATCACAACATGTACAACTACCAGAAACATCCACACATACTCCCTCCGTTACCAAAACGTCCTATATTTAGGAACAGAGGGAGTACATCACATCCAGGTTCACATTCACCACATACATCAGTACTAGTTCACAACTACCAGTCAAGTCAGAATCAATAACAACAACAACAAAGCCTTTAGTCCCAAACAAGTTGGGGTAGGCTAGAGGTGAAACCCATAAGATCTCGCAACCAACTCATGGCTCAGGCACATGGATAGCAAGCTTCCACGCACCCCTGTCCATAGCTAGCTCTTTGTCGATACTCCAATCCTTCAGGTCTCTCTTAACGGACTCCTCCCATGTCAAAATCGGTCGACCCCGCCCTCTCTTGACATTCTCCGCACGCTTTAGCCGTCCGCTATGCACTGGAGCTTCTGGAGGCCTGCGCTGAATATGCCCAAACCATCTCAAACGATGTTGGACAAGCTTCTCCTCAATTGGTGCTACCCCAACTCTATCTCGTATATCATCATTCCGGACTCGATCCTTCCTCGTGTGGCCACACATCCATCTCAACATACGCATCTCCGCCACACCTAACTGTTGAACATGTCGCCTTTTAGTCGGCCAACACTCCGCGCCATACAACATTGCGGGTCGAACCGCCGTCCTGTAGAACTTGTCTTTTAGCTTTTGTGGCACTCTCTTGTCACAGAGAATGCCAGAAGCTTGGCGCCACTTCATCCATCCGGCTTTGATTCGATGGTTCACATCTTCATCAATACCCCCATCCTCCTGCAACATTGACCCCAAATACCGAAAGGTGTCCTTCCGAGGTACCACCTGGCCATCAAGGCTAACCTCCTCCTCCTCACAGCTAGTAGTACTGAAACCGCACATCATGTACTCGGTTTTAGTTCTACTAAGCCTAAACCCTTTCGATTCCAAGGTTTGTCTCCATAACTCTAACTTCCTATTTACCCCCGTCCGACTATCGTCAACTAGCACCACATCATCCGCAAAGAGCATACACCATGGGATATCTCCTTGTATACCCCTTGTGACCTCATCCATCACCAATGCAAAAAGATAAGGGCTCAAAGCTGACCCCTGATGCCTATGTTTTTAAGGCGGTAAGGCGAGGCGAGGCGCTGGGGGGGGCGCCTCACTGCCTAAGCGGTAAGGCATAAGGCGAGGCGACGCCTTAGACACATACATATATAATAGATGGCAGCCAATTAGGAGATTTAACTACTAGCATTGACATCATAAATTGTACATACATATATAACAGATGGCAGCCATTTAGGAAATTTAACAACTAACAGTAACATAATTAGTTGTTGCCAAATCATAGGCCTCAAATCATCTTCTGTATATGACAGAACGGCGCCTTTGAACTTCAGCTTCATCCTTCTCATCAATATATCGCTCCATAGCTTTAAACTTTCTAGTGTTTAAGGATTTGCGCATCTCTATCCTAATCTCCATAGATGCCTCGGGACACATATCTGCATCACTACAACCCCCAGAAAGGTGCTGCTTCAGCCTTCTCACTCCAGCATGGACTATCTTGCCACACAATGTACACTGGAGTAAATCTTTCCTCTCTAAATCTGGCCAGAACCCATACTTCCAAACTGGATCATCTGATGTAGCTCTTCTCCTAGGATCCATCAGAGCAGGGCCACCTCGCTGCTGCAGCAACACTGAGAAAAGACCCAATCAACCGTCAAAGAGAGAAGAGCCAAATCACTAGAGCAAGCAGACAAGCATGGGGAAGGAGAGAAGCGATGGTGGGGTTGCTGCCTTGTGGATGGAGAAGCAGATTTGGGAGCAAACAGATGCAGAGGAGGAGCAGGCAAGCAGCCAAGCACATCTACAGATCTACCTACAATGCAGGAAGAAACAAAGTACTAGGAGGGGTAGAAGAAAATTCAGAGGAGGCCAGGATAGAAGTGAGATGAGAACGGGAGCCACACCTTGCTGTTGCGCCAGAGTTGGAGGGAGAGCTGAGCCCGGCGAGGAGGGGCACAGATCGGAGCTGTAGAGGAAGGAGCCGCCGCCAAAGGTCAGAGAGGAGAGAAGGAAACCCTATCGGGTGGATTGGACGATTGGTTCGATCCTCTCTGTCCCGCCCTTCGCCTTATACCTGTTCGCACTCGCGCGCGAGCCCAATATTTCCAGCGAAAGCCCGCGAAAGCTTCCCGCGTGGGCCACTCTTTCCCGCCTGGAAGCAGCCCATGGCGTCCGATCTGGCCCAAGGCGCCGCCCTACGCGCCTAGGCGGACGATTCAGACGCCCTAGGATCTAAAGCGGACGCTTTACGACGATGTGTAGGGCAGGTTCGACGCCTTGCCATCGGAGGGCGCCCCGACGCTAAGGCGTCGCCTAAGCGACGCTTCACAGACGCCTTAAAAACAGAGCCTGATGCAGTCCTATCTTAATCGGGAAGTCATCGGTGTCGACATCACTTGTTCGAACACTTGTCACAACATTATTGTACATGTCCTTGATGAGGGTAATGTACTTTGCTGGGACTTTGTGTTTCTCCAAGGCCCACCACATGACATTCCGCGGTATCTTATCATAGGCCTTCTCCAAGTCAATGAACACCATATGCAAGTCCTTCTTATGCTCCCTATATCTCTCCATAAGTTGTCGTACCAAGAAAATGGCTTCCATGGTCGACCTCCCAGGCATGAAACCAAACTGATTTTGGTCACGCTTGTCATTCTTCTTAAGCGGTGCTCAATGACTCTCTCCCATAGCTTCATTGTATGGCTCATCAGCTTAATTCCACGGTGATTAGTACAACTCTGAACATCCCCCTTGTTCTTGAAGATTGGTACTAATATACTCCGTCTCCATTCTTCTGGCATCTTGTTTGCCCGAAAAATGAGGTTGAAAAGCTTGGTTAGCCATACTATCGCTATGTCCCCGAGACCTTTCCACACCTCAATGGGGATACAATCAGGGCCATCGCCTTGCCTCCTTTCATCCTTTTTAAAGCCTCCTTCACCTCAGACTCCTGGATGCGCCGCACAAAACGCATGCTGGTCTCATCAAAGGAGTCATTCAGTTCAATGGTAGAACTCTCATTCTCCCCATTGAACAGCTTGTCGAAGTACTCCCGCCATCTATGCTTAATCTCTTCGTCCTTCACCAAGAGTTGGCCTGCTCCGTCCTTGATGCATTTGACTTGGCCAATATCCCTCGTCTTCCTCTCCCGGATCTTAGCCATCTTATAGATGTCCCTTTCACCTTCCTTCGTGCCTAACCGTTGGTAGAGGTCCTCATATGCCCGACCCCTTGCTTCACCAACAGCTCGCTTTGCGGCCTTCTTCGCCATCTTGTACTTCTCTATGTTGTCTGCACTCCTATCCAGGTATAGGCGTCTGAAGCGGCCCGGCCCTTGCCCATTTTCCACCACACCCGGGTTCCGATGTGGCACGTCGCTGAGAGGGTTACGCCCCAACGAAAATCTTTTGGGTTTCATCTCCATAAGAGTGGCTGAGTTTTTACGTTGGCTCGCCAAGCCTATCAGAACCCTCCTCCTTTACCCGGGCTTGGGACCGGCTATGTTGAGACAACATAGGCGGAGTTAGACAACATAGGCGGAGAACCTTCTCAAAATAAAAACACTTGATCTCCTTTCTAGTTTTTTTTGGGTCGCCAAGCAATTTAATTTTCAGCACATAACTTGTATTTGGATCCATCCTGTAAATAGAAGAGAGACTTATGCATGACATTGCTACTGGATATGAGGCAATCTGCTCCTTCCAATCCTGCATTTGGAGAGCAATTTGTGGAAGACACTCACCCTTCTAGACACGCCGACGACGCCGAACCTGAAGCCAAGCCTGCAGCCGCACCGTGGCCCAAGCCCGCATCCACGCTCAACCATGCAGCTGAGCTCGCAGCCGCGCCATGGCCTGTGCCCGCAGCTGAGCTCACCGACGAGCGCTCCACAATCGCGCTGTTCCCGCTGCCGTGCCTTGGCTACCATCCCCAGCCCCGCCTTGGCCGCCCTCTGCCGTGCCTGGGTTGCCGTCCGCCGCTGTGCTTGCTCCGACCCCTGCAGCCGTGCCTGAGCCGCCACCCGCAGCCACCTGTTGGTCCATGGCCCCTCAGCTCACGCCACCGCCACGAGCCAGCCCTCCGCCGCCGCTGCTAGGGTTCAGGTTGGGTGGGGACTCGAGATAGGAACGAGAGCGACGGTTCGGTCGGGATTGTTTCTTCGGTTTGATATAGGATAGCGACTAGTAGAGGGGTATTTTGGTCCACCTAATTTTTTTTTGACGGAACGGTGTAACGGAACCAATGGCGGTTGTCACATAAGGAAAGAAATTAAGACTAGATATGTCAAATAGGGAAGATAATTTTCTACAGGGCCAGACAAGGAACCTCATTTTAAGTTAGTGTCAAGTAAGGAATTTTCTCTATTAATTGGGGGGCACGTTTCTTTTGTAGATGCTGTTTTTCATAACTGTATGGACATTACTTATCTGCTTATATTGCTGCACAGGGAAGAATGATTCTGGCTCACTTATGTGATGAACCCAAAGGTCTGAAGACAGGAATGTGCATGGTAGTTGCCTCATGACCTGGTTTCTTTGCAGTGTTCTTTATGGAGCCTATGCCAGTATGTTTATACTTTGTCATGTCTAAAAACTGGCTTCCTTTTGCAGGCCCTGGCATATTTCCCGTTTGCAATTGCAAATGCGCTGACTGCCCGACTTGATGATGGGTTTGTGCCTCTGAGCCTTTTGTATTACACTGTATAATTATCATGGGCTATGATGGGTTTTGTATGACACTCTCATTTTATGGTCATTGATCGTTGCAGAAACCCCCTTTTTGATGAGCAGCTCGTTCTCCTGATATACTGCTTATTTACAGGTATTATCTTATTTTCACAGCACATTTCTTTTCAATGGACGAGTTGCAGAGTTTTGCATTCAATATACTAGAGGGATCATTTTTGTACTGTTGTTAAAAAGTAGTACGTATTATTTTTCTGGTTTTCTATTTTAGATTAGTGAATCTGTTTATATTGTCATGCGTTTGGTCAGGCATTGGATTGTTGTATTAGTCACTTGGTTGTACTTTGGTACTTGTTCTTGATTTATAAGCTTCAGACGGATCCTCCAAGTTATTCTTTACAGTAACAAATTTCACTTGACAAATATATATCACGAGACATGGATTACAGTATATCATGTGCCCATCATAGGCTGTAGTGCTAAACGTATCTTTGATCTGACTACTTTGATCAATTTGACAGTGGCGCTGTACATGCATTTTGCTACGTCTGTTATCCATGAAATCACCAACGCACTTGGGATTCATTGCTTCAGGTTTGTCAATTATCACTGCAATTCTTTTCCACATTTTGCATCAATTGTTCTGACTGACATAATTTCTGTCTGGCTACAGAATCACAAGGAAAAAGGCGTAACTCTGACTTAGTTGGTAATCAACATGGTATCTACCAAAGAAGCAAACATGCCTGCTTGTCTTCATTATAGGGGTGATGTACGAATCATATTTGCATCTGTCATTACAGGGACATTCTCCCCTGAAATTTACATCAGCACTAAAATTTGTGCTGATGAGAAAACAATGTATGTGAAATAGTTGGCAAAATTTTGTTGTATTGTTCATAGAGCAAATGCTCAGCAAAAACTTTCTGGGGGAAATGCTGTGCTGATTGGCAGAAGTTGCCTTTGTAACTTGTCACATTGTAACATCAGCAGAGATGCGGATAGTGTTGTTTATGCATTTTATTCGTCTCTTTTTTCGACCCAATGCCTCCATGCATGTTCCGATTTTCAGAGGCGGATACCATTAGCAGTCGGTTTTGTTTCTTTTTTGTTTTGAGAAAACAATCGGTTTTACTCCCTCTGTATATATCACTCTGCATCAAATGAATTCCCATGTTGAGATGGAGGAAGTAGTTCTGATTTGGCTGACAGATTGCGTTTTGATTGTGCTCTGTATATACCACTCCATCAATGAATTCCCATGCTGATACTATTTGGGAGGACTTTTTAAAATCGAATTACTGATGTGCTGTGCAAATTGATTTGTTTCAGTACCATGTGATAATTGTGGCAGCTAGAACCTAGACAATTGTGGCTTCTTTTCTCTTCAGCCTTGTGGTAGTTATCTTGGTACAATTTTAATGGAGCAAGTAACTGTAATTGGAGAAGGTGCAGCACGGTGCACTGAGCTTAGCTGGAGCATGCTGCCAGGGTTCATTTCATTCTTCCATCAGAATATAAATTGGCCAGACTTGCTAGCAAAGCATCAGAAGTTGTTTCTTTGTGTGGTGACTGGAGTCGGCCATGGCCGCGCTGCGACAAGCTTCAACGGCACTCCGGTTGCTGTTCGTGGCTGCGGTGATCCGGTTGCTGTTCGTGCCCGTGGTGAGCAGCACCGTCGCCTCCATGGTGGTTCCGGCGATCTTTGTGTTCGGCGACTCTACTGCTGATGTGGGGAACAACAACTACTTGCCGGGGACCAGCGCCAGGGCTGATTTTCCTCACAATGGCGTCGACTTCCCCGGCGGTGAGCCGACGGGCAGGTTTAGCAACGGCTTCATTGGCGCCGATTTCTTGGGTGAGCAAGCCAATTGATCACATGCTTTTGAATGAATGGCGGCTCGGTTGTCTGTCTGATCAGTTGTGAAATTTGCAGCTGTCCACATGGGCTTCAGCGGGAGCCCACCGCCGTACCTCTCTCTCATCGCCGGCAGTGGCGAGGCATTGGGCAACACGACGACGAAGAAGCCGGTAGCCGCTTCTGCCTCCATGAGAGGAGCCAGTTTTGCCTCTGGAGGCTCCGGTGTTCTTGACTCCACGGTACGTCCAAGCCACATGTGCTGTAAACATTTCTGACTCTGTTTTTCCAATTTATCAGACATATATGTGGTTTAGTAGAAACATGTCGTCATTTATTTTTTGTGCGGACATAAATTTCGACTGAATTGGTTACAAACCCCAAGTACATTTGAAATTTTGTTCTATATTTTACTGTTCACTGGAAGAATTTAGGTGGAGCAGATGATTCGTTACTACCTAAAGTTGAGAAAATTCTTCAATTGTTCAATCAAAGCAACAACTTTCTCCTGTACTCCATCTCTCTTTAATGTCATGAACCACACACAATTTAAAATCTGGCCAGAATTAAAAATCAGCAAGTACAATTGACATCCTCAGCTAGTGCCAGCAACATTTGACAACCAGATGATGATCATATTACCAGGGAGACACGATCAACATGACGAAGCAGATCGAGTACTTCTCGGATCTCAAAGACCAGATGCTGTCAGCCAGACTGGGTGCCTTCGGTGCGTCGGCCTTCCTGTCCAAGTCCATCTTCCTCATCAGCGCGGGCTCGAACGACGCCATCGACTTCTTCTCGCAGGACACGTCGCCGGACTCCACCGCGCTCCAGCAGTTCCGGGAAGCCGTGGTCTCCACGTACGACAGCCATGTCAAAGTAAGAGACCTGACCAGTGATGATCATTTCCATTCCATCAGGCTTCAACTCAGCCAAACTCACTGTGTTATATTCAACTCTGAATCAAATCAACTGCATGGTTGTGCTGCAGACGCTGTACAACCTGGGGGCGAGGAAGTTCGCGGTGATCGACGTGGCGCCGATCGGGTGCTGCCCGTACTGGAGGAGCCGGAACCCGGCCGGGGAGTGCGTCGAGCCGCTGAACCGGCTAGCGAAGAGCCTCAACGATGGGATCCGGGACCTGTTCGCCGGCCTCGTCTCCGAGATGCAGGGCATGGAGTACGCCATTGGCAGCGCCTACGAGCTCGTCTCCAGCATCGTCGAAGACCCGCAGTCTGCAGGTAAAAATAAATCGCAGCATTCTGATGTCAAGCTGATACATCTACCAAGTACAGTACATCTAGAGTCTGCGGCATTGTAATTCGTACATCGCTCATGCTTTGCACCAAGAATGTAACGTGGCTCGCTTTGCTGCGTGCAGGGTTGACGGAGTTGAAGAGCGCATGCTGCGGCGGCGGCGGCAGGTTCAACGCCGACGGTGGGTGCACCCCCAGCGCCGGCTACTGCGGCGACCGCGGCAGGTTCCTCTTCTGGGACTTCCTGCACCCTACGCAGGCCACCTCCAGGCTCGCCGGCCGAGCGTTCTTCGACGGGCCGGAGCGATTCGTCGGCCCGATCACCTTCAGGCAGCTGGCCGAGGCGTAGGGTCGTCTTTGTATCATTCCACGACATGAGAGAGAATCAAATGTGGTTTTGTGTTTTTTGGGGCCGGTCCAAGTCAAAATCCTGGTCTTTGCCTTTCGTGGCGGCGACAGTTTAACAACTGGCGCCAATTGTCCAAATTGGGTGTTGATTAATGATTAATGTGCTATATATACATACTATTGGGGCAGACACACACTATTTACTCGTCGATCGAATTCTCGTGCACACTGACCTGGTATTGGAGACCATCTAAATTATCCAAAATCTCTTCAATTTATGAGCTGAGGGAGTATTATAAGTAGACGACGCTCAACAAGCTAAATGAAAAATATGCAATCAATTTCATGAAAAATAAAACACCGGGCCATTAATTTGGTGGACCAAACCCCTAACAATTGTGATTCTTATGTTTATGTTCCAAGCATTGTTCTGGCTGGTTCCCTAAAAGTTTCATTTTGAATATCAGCAAGTCTGTTGCAGCCCCAACCCAAAAGTCTAGTTCCTTTTACTATCTTTGTTATATATACTAGTACATATGCCAAGAAAAAAGTAGTATGTATTTAAAGTTAGTGAAAATTATATGTGCAAGCAAAACCCCGTGTGCATGTGAAAAAGGAACATTTAGCTTCTCGGTTTTGCCGGGTGTGAAGTAATCAATCCATTATTTTTTCACTCATTAATCGAGAATATTTAAGAGTTTTGTTACGTTATTGTACGCCATAGAAGGCCAATAAATTATTCAATCTACTTTTTCTTTCAATCGAGGAGACTTTTAAGGTATGAAGTTTCTGAATATTGTAGGAAACATGAACCATTTTTAAATCCTAATGTTATTTAAAAATTGTGTACACTTCAAAAAAATGAGAACAAAATTTGAAATGGAAACATCTTTCAAAATTTACAAACATTTTAACATAAAAAAAATTCACAGACTTTTTTTGAAAACACCAAACTTTTTTATAAAAACATGAACATTATTTGAATTTGTGAGCATGTTCTTAGAATGGAAACATGTGTTGAAATTTCATAAGATTTCTCGAAATGTGTATCTTTTATATGCGAACATTATTTTGAATCGTGAAAATTTCACTAAAACAAGAATATTTTGCAAATTTGGAGCATTTCTTAAAATGGCATTTTATTTTTAGAAATATCTAACATTTTTAAAAAATAAGAAAAGTTTTTTTAAAAAATAGGAAACTTTTTTCAAGTTCCGAATATTTTTCAAAATATTACCAAAATTTTGGAATTCAGGTGATTTTCTAAAATTTTATTTTTAAAATTTCTGAATGTTTTTTAGAATTTTGAAATTATGAAATAAATTCTATAAGAAAATAAATTTGGAAGGGAAAAAGGGGGAGGAGAATAAAAATAGTAGTAAAACAAAAAAACAAAGGAAAATAAGCGAGTGCATTATTGGTTGTCCTGTGCGAAGCTCCGACTATTTGTCACCCTATACGAAAAATAGTATTTTCCGAGCTGCGTGGGCAGAAAAAAAGTGGGCTAGCTTCGCTGGGCCACAGCATGCGGCCCACGTACGAAATTCTGGAAAAAGGCCATTTTTTCTAGCAGACGAAAGTATAAGAATTCAGTACCACCTCGGATAGATTTTTTTCCGGCAGTGAATGGTTGAAAAAATTGGCGAAAGACACCTTGCTTTATTACTAGGTATAGGTATAGATTCGGTGAGTTAATGTGTGGATTTTCTTTTTCTTTTATACATGCCATCAAATATTACAACAAATTAAAATCTATGAATATTTTCATAAAATAATTTGAGGTTTCTTTATATTTTCTCTTCCAAAGGTTTTGAAAAATCCCATGCCTTTCCTACTTCATGTTTGGACTCGAAACTTTGCCACAAATCCTTTTTTCTTTTATCAGAGCTCCACCAAAAATTCCAACATTTTTTGGGCAATTCTAATAGCTAGTCCTAGTTCAAACCCATTTGAATTAAATTAGAAGGAGTTTCAGTTCAAATTCTCCCACCATGCCCAAATTCAATTTTCCTGAAGTAAGCACATTTTAACCAGTCCAGGGGAATTTTCTTCACCTTTAATCTCCAGTAATAACTCCATGTGCTTTTGTAAAAAGGCTTTTTACATTTTAAATAAAGAAGGCAGAAAAGTAAATCAGATAGAGAGAAGCCCAAGCCAACCAGCGCAGTGGCCCATCAAACTAAAGCCGGCCTAGTACGACCACAGGACCCAGTCGGCTTAAGTGCCTATCTTGGCCCACCTACCCACCTATCTATCTCTACTTTTATAAAAAAACGAGTTGATGATGATGATGTGTCTACCATCTTGTAATACAGATCGTTCGATCTACATCTGATGGATAAAAAGCAAACTATGACAATTTTATAAAAAAACCCACACCACTCTCCACATTTACAGATAAGGTCTTGCCTCGTTCATCCTTATCTCCCACAACCTCATTGCTGAGCAATTAAAAAAGAAAGTCTTTGGAACAATCTGGCATGGTGGCCGCTGCCGACGTCGTCCATCCCCATGCCTCCGCCCAGTCCGACCACCAGTCACCACCACGCCCACTCCTTCTCACCTTATCTCTCATCTTTCTCGAGATATCATTTTTTCGATGAAATTCTCGAGATACCATTTTTCCAATAAAATTCTTGAGATATCATTAGTTTTTACACATGGGATTACTCTTGCATGGGTCAATCATAACAGGTGTTTTGTAAAAAAAAATGCATCTTGATGTTCCATGCAATGTACGGGCATCTTGCTAATCATTTTGAAAACTTTAGACAAACTTGGCAAAAATGTATGGTGAAGTATGGCAATGCAATGCCTAGACCCAAACAGGATAAGTACGTACGTACTATGAGTACTAGTGTTAAAAAAGAAAGGCGGGGTTCTCCTTTGCGGGATTAATCGGTACAAGTCCTCATTTAACGTGTCAATTAATGTGTATTTTTTCTCTAAAGCACAAAGAGCTAACCATCTCACTCCTCGTCGCTTGATTAATGCAGCGCCATGCAAACAAACCTTCTCACTTCCGCATGCATGCAAAAGTATATTAATGTCCTTGATTGCTAGTTAAAAACCACCTATCTAAACGTAGCCCAATCCATCCGCGAGAACTATGTCTCGCATATAGTGAGACTGTAACTTCTCTGCGGCGAGTGTCTACAGTAATAGGCCGGCCCACTAGCTTAGTTAAAAGGGGTTTGACAACTTCTCTCCTAGTTCCTTTGTAGCGCTGGTAGTCATTTGAAATCACTAATTAAGGAGTACTACTTCAAAAGATCACTTACACCTCCTCTGGTTGTGACAAGTGGTGCGCACTGCACCACTTGTCACAACCTGAGAGTTTTTTCTTTTTTCATAGATTGTTTATTCAAAATGTTTATCTCCTAAACCGTGCATCTAAATCTCGAACCGTTTTCACCCTTGTATTTCTCGCGTCGTGATCTTCAACTAGATCCCATGTTGATAGATTTTGACGAACTTTTCTCATGGAAAAACCGGACAAAAAATCAGACGAAAAAATTAAACCAGGAGCATGTTTTTTCCTTTTCTGAAAGCTGTTACCATGAGGCACGGCCGTGCCTCTCACGGAAAAAATAGAAAACACGTATATTTTCCAAGAGGCACGATCGTGCCTCTCACGGAAGCAAAATCGTGCCTCTCGCGGAACCAAAACCATGCCTCTCATGAAAAAAAAGAGAAAACAAGTTTTTTTCCGTTTCCAAGAGGCACGGCCGTGCCTCTTGTGGAAGCAAAATCGTTTCTCTCGCGAAAGAAAAAGAAGAGAAAATGTATTTTTTTTCATTTTCGAGAGGCACGTCCGTGCCTCAGGGAAATAAAACCATGCCTCTCATGAAAGTAAAAATGTACCTTTCGCAGAAGGAAAAATAAAAGAAAAAATATATATTTTTTTGTTTCCGAGAGGCATGGCCGTGCTTCTTCGGAAGGAAATTCATGCCTCTCGCGGAAACAAAAAAAAAACGTGTTTTTTCGCGCAGATTGTTTCTCAATTTTTTTGTCCAAAAGCTAAGGAAAATGAGTGGAAAACCAAAAAGCCGAACAAACCTGAGAAAAAACCATCTAAAAAACTCAAAAAATATGCGGAAAATAAAAATAAAATTCGGAGAAGCACCCAGAGCGCGACACGTGGCGGCGGCTGAGAGCGAGCCAAGTCTCAGCCCATCCCAAATGACCCTTGAGGAGGCTGGGAACGAACGTTCCTTAGTTGATTGCTCCTGCAGTCACTAGGCCATCGTGGAGTTCAAGTTAGATAAGAAGGGCGTGAACTACTTGAAGAAAAAAAAACGCCGGCTTTCCACTGGCTTTTCATTCTTGTTGTTTCCATCAGTTTTTCTCTGTTTTTTCGGCTTTTTTTGTTTATTTTCTTTGGGTTTCTTTATTTTTCTTGGTTTTTAGTGCCTTTTTCTTTTTCTTCATTTTTCTTCCATTTTGTTGCTTTCTTTCTCGTTTTTCTTTTGTTTTCCCTTGGGTTTTCACTATTTTCCAACACACATTTTTGGTATATTTCTAATACATTTTTTCTAATACACGTGTAACATTTTTTAAAATACAAGTTTAATATTTTTTGGATGCATGGTCAACATTTTTCTATACAGATTTTTAAATGCTTGATTAACATTTTTTAATACAAAATTAACATTTTTTGAATACGTGGTCAACATTTTTCTCTATAAATTTTTAACATTTGAACTTGTATGTAATATTGAAGAATGCTTAAAAAGGTCAAAACTGATGGATGTCGGAACCAATTATCCCCTAGGAATTTTATGTCTACTTGTGGAGCTTAATTAGCTTAACCTTAAATTTCATACTGTTTGCACATTGTTTGCATGCAGGCAAGAACTTTATATCTACAACTGGCCAAAAATGCTAATCCAGGCCTCATCTATACTTCATCAATGTTTTGTCATTCAAGTGAGAAATATGTACGGTTATTATTGTAATCTCGTTGAATAAGTTTATCATAGACAATCAGCAAATGAAAAT